TTATACTCTGAAGCAAATACATGTATTTGTTGTTCAAAATAGTGCAACCTTTTTTTTCTGTTGGTATCATGGTATTTGCACTTGTAATATAGTTTTAAAAAGTGAGATTCCTCTGCATGTATTATAAATAACTAGCCAAATACTTTTGGATGTCAATAAATGGGATACGTTTTAGATGCCATGCTGAGAGAGAACATACTTATTTCCATGCATAAAAGATCCCTGTGGTCGAGGATGGTAGATCGGCAACCTTATTCTGATTTTATTCCTCTTGTGTGAAATATTTGATTATAATTTAACTTGAAATTGGATTTGGACTCATTGACTCAGAGAAGTGTGATATTGATTGTGTGTGTGAATATATGATGAAGGCTCTCTTAAAACAAACTATTGTCATAAAAATGAATGTGAATGTTCCACAGTGTCAGATGCCCAGCTTTTGCCTCGTAATGAGAATTCTTATAATTTGTAATGCTGGCCTCCCATGTTGAGGAAATATGGCTCCTTGTTTTTTTGCTATGACATTTTACCATGCTGAGAACGTCATGCTGATTACGGTTATAGAATTTTTGGCATAGAACAACACAAAGGGTTAGTGGATATGTTTCAGAAAATAACTAAATATTTGGGATAGAAGATTAGACTAGCTCTTTTTAATATTAGCAGTTTCTTCCCTTTGGCAGCTATTACAGTGACCATTTTCCATGGAACACTGTTTTCTTTTATTTAAAAAAATATAATATGCTACAGTTTCTTACTGAAACAATCTGTTGCACGAAACTAATTTTACAATTGTGTATAATGAGTATGTTTTAATGTAAATCTGTAGGTCATCATATTTCATTTATTCATCTCAAGTACCTGAATATTACTGATCAGTAACAATCTAACTATTTTTTTAGAAAGTTGAGTGACTGGATAATGAAGTCATCTATTGAAATTGTAGTAATATGAATCTAAGTCATGGTTGTCGGGGACTTATTTTTCACACAAAGAATATTTGCATGTGTAATTTTAATATGTTTAAATTTTATATTGTCACAAATATACATAAAATGTGTGTATAACTGTTTCACATATGTTTTGTGATACAGTTAAGGGTATTCTATGGCCAGATTAAAACATAGGTACTATGGGTTCATAGTTAAGTCGTCAGCTCCTGGAGTCAGAATCTGTTTTTTATTTATTTTTTTTATTTTCAGTCTTCGCGCTTATTAAGGTAGGCTTCGAAATATGAACTGAGTGTAACCAATGTATCAATATCTGCCTGAGCCTGTAGAAAGCCTGACTCAGTAGCTCTGAGATTGCCCCGTGTATCCTGATGGGCATTAACCTCAAGAATCACTGCTTTTGATGGACACCAGCACCATCATCCGAGAAGAAGACTCTGTAGTAGTAGCTGCTGATGGATAAGATTTTATCTGCTAGAAAAATACAACTCCTCTGGGAAGATGTATCCATCAGCAGCTGCATATAAAAACCTCTCTGTCAGCAACAGCACATGAAACTTTCTCCATTGCACAATTAAATCTGACAGATAGGTACTGATGGAGAGATTGGGTATTTAAGACAGAAATGTTATCCAGTGAAGATTGCTTCAGTCAGATGTTCATTTTGTGCATAAACTTTGGAATAATAATAAATAACAGCTAAAAATTACCCTAAATCCTGTTCTTTTAAAAGCTACACATTGCACCAGATCTATTCAAGATTAATCTGTGTGCCAATTTTTGTGTAGAAAAACAATGATTCTTCTTCGAGTGCTTGCTCATGTGCATTCTGATTAGGTGTATGCCCGTGACAGTAGCTGGAGCGTGTGTTAAGGCTATCAGCCTGTCCCGTAGCAGTTTGTACTCTTAACTGTTCTTGTATTATAGTTAAAACCAGTAGTTATATAATTGTTAAATAGTTGTTAGTTAGTGTAAATAGTGTAGTTAGTTTGCAAAAGATCTCAGCGGGACTCTCCCCGTCAGGGGAGGGGATGCCAGAGCCCCAAGGCATTAAGCCGTATGGTTCTTGCTCAAAATCTATGCCCTGTGGTGACCCGCACTCTTCGTGTTTAAAGTGCCTCAGAGAGGCACGATCGGAGTGGAGAGTTGCTCGATCTGTAAAGGGTTTAAGCCTAGGACCAAGAGAAAAAGAGACTCTTGTTTAAAGCTCTTGTTGATGGAGTCAGCACTGCAGCCCCACAGTGAGGAGCATCCCCACTCCGTCCACAGTGCACCGTCCGATACAGCTGCGGCACCGGCTAAGCATCCGACGGCAGTCTGGAAGATGCCCAGGCACAGATCACAGCTCCGAGGAGCTCCAAAGGCTTGAGGGGCCGGTCGACGGAGAGGCGCAGTCATAAAGTGCACCCTAAGGAGGGGCACTTGACCTCCAATGTGCCTAAGAAGAGTTGCAGCCCAGACAGGGCTTGGAGCCCAGGGCAAACAACAGGGATGGGGGATATCCGGCACCCCTGTACTCCAGAAACATTTGATGCATCAAGAGAGCTCATCGAACTAACTGCAACCGAGGGAGAAGGCCCAGCACCACAAGTGCAGGCCGCATCTTCCCATGGCACGAGCGTCCTACTAATGGCACTGTCATCGGAGTTGTGGGACCCACACCGTCATTGGGGTTGTGGGACCCACAGGCACCATCACCATCATCAACTCCAAGCCTCTTGCCGCTTGAGGCACCGGCACTGAGTCCTTTTACGGCATCGGGTCAGTCGGCTCTGGGGCATACGGTGCAGTCTCAGGCAACTCCGGCACCGGTGCATACAACAGCCGCCCATGCAGCGTAGGAGGCGGCACCGCTGATAGGACCTTTGACGGCGCCAGCCTCCGCACCAAGCCAACTACTCACCATGACGGCACCAGTGCAATCATCACCATACAGGGCACCGGCGCTTTGGATACCGTCTCTCCCTATATTACCAGGTGTGGTCCAACATTACTTCGGACCACTGGGTGCTCGACCTGGTAAGACAAGGATACACTCTCCCCTTCCTCTCTACCCCTGCCTCCCATCCCCCCTCCTCGTCCCTTTTCAGGGACCCCTCTCACGAGACCCTTCGAAGACAGGAGGTGTCCTATCTTCTGTCACTAGGGGCCATAGAACAGGTTCCACAGGGTCTCAGAGGGAGGGGGCTTTTACTCCCAAAATTTCCTTATCCCCAAAGCAAAAGGAGGCCTACGTCCTGTTTTAGATCTAAGGAATCTGAACGCTTTTATCAAGAAAACAAAGTTCAGAATTGTCACCTTGGCCTGCATCATCCCATTTCTCCAGAAGGGAGACTGGTACTCTGCTCTTGATCTGAAAAATGCCTACTTCCACATTTTGGTGTCCCCAGTACACAGTAAATTCCTCAGATTTGTAGCTGGGCAGGACCACTTCCAGTTTACGGTCCTCCTATTTGGCTTATGTATAGCCCCAAGGGTGTTCACCAAGTGCGTAACAGTAGTAGTGCCATTCATGAGACACCACAGAACTCAAGTATTCCCATATCTAGACAACTGGTTGATAAGGGGCACATCTCGAGAACAAGTGGCAGACCAAGTCGGAAGGTCAAAGGCACTATTTGGGAGCCTCGGCCTTCTTGTAAACAATGTCAAATCCTCACCAAGCCCCATTCAAGTAATAGAGTTTGCGGGAGCTTGCTTGAACTCATCAGCAGAGAGGGCCTCCCTGCCAAGAGACAGGTTTCTCACACTATGCTCATTGATAACAGACCTGCAGAGATTTCCCACCACTACAACAAGAACCTGTATGAGGCTCCTTGACCATATGGTAGTGTGCACTTATGTGGTTCGGTATGCCAGGTTACACATGTGACCGCTACGGGGTGGCTCAAGGCAGTGCACAACCCTATGCGGTTGCCTCTGGATGTGGTGGTCACCATACCAGAAAGAATACTCTGCTCTCTAGACCGGTGGAAGGACGAGAGCACAATGTGTGCGGGAGTTCCATTTGTCAGGCAGTCCCCATCAGTGTGCTGGTCACAGATGCGTCAGACACGGGATGGGGGGCGCACCTGGGAGGCCTCAGGACTCAAGGTACGTGATTACCAGGGGAAATGCCCCTTCATATAAATGTCAAGGAACTCAGGGCAGTCAAGCAGGCATGCAAGGCGTTCCTCCCCCAGCTGGAAGACAAGGTGGTTGCGGTACTGACAGACAACACAACTTCCATGTATTATATCAACAAGCAATGGGGGGCGCGTTCCTCTTCCCTGTGCCAGGAAGCCCTAGAGCTGTAGGAGATATCTCTCTCTCTCAGTATTCACCTGGAGGTGTCGTACCTGCCGGGGTCCAGGAATGGGTTGGCAGACAGGCTCAGTTGCTCCATTCAGGAACACGAGTGGACTATAAGACAAGACATACTGCAGGGGGTCTTCCAGAGATTGGGGTATCCCCATCTAGACCTCTTTGCAACACTATTACCTCATTGAGGAAGGTGTCCGAACTTAGAGAGTTGACTTCAGAGCCCCCTTCCATGGTCTTCTTTAAAGATAAGGTGAGAATGAGTCCTCACCCGGGGTTCCTTCCCAAAGTGGTCTCGCATTTCCATCTCTCTTAAGACATTTACCTACTGGTCTTTTATCCCAAACCATACTCCATGCCCAAGGAACAGACCCTGCACTGCTTGGATGTCAGGAGGACATTGGCCTTTTACATAGACAGGACGGGGGAATTCCGTAAGTTACCACAGCTGTTTATTTCGATAGCAGAAAGAATGAAGGGATTGCCAGTCTCCGCGCAGTACATCTCCTCGTGGATCACATCTTGTATCCAGGAGTTCTACGAGGGTGCGGGCAAACCAGCGCCACCATTAACTGCTCACTCCACAAGAGCACAGGCGGCCTTGGCAGCGTTCCTGGCACGTGCGCTAATAGTAGAAATCTGTAGGACAGCTACGTGGTTGTCGGTGCACTCATTTGCAGAGCATTATGCGATCACGCAGCTGGCTAGAGGGGATGCCGCAGTAGGGGCAGCAGTTCTGCTTGGCCTGCATCATCCCATTTCTCCAGAAGGGAGACTGGTACTCTGCTCTTGATCTGAAAAATGCCTACTTCCACATTTTGGTGTCCCCAGTACACAGTAAATTCCTCAGATTTGTAGCTGGGCAGGACCACTTCCAGTTTACGGTCCTCCTATTTGGCTTATGTATAGCCCCAAGGGTGTTCACCAAGTGCGTAACAGTAGTAGTGCCATTCATGAGACACCACAGAACTCAAGTATTCCCATATCTAGACAACTGGTTGATAAGGGGCACATCTCGAGAACAAGTGGCAGACCAAGTCGGAAGGTCAAAGGCACTATTTGGGAGCCTCGGCCTTCTTGTAAACAATGTCAAATCCTCACCAAGCCCCATTCAAGTAATAGAGTTTGCGGGAGCTTGCTTGAACTCATCAGCAGAGAGGGCCTCCCTGCCAAGAGACAGGTTTCTCACACTATGCTCATTGATAACAGACCTGCAGAGATTTCCCACCACTACAACAAGAACCTGTATGAGGCTCCTTGACCATATGGTAGTGTGCACTTATGTGGTTCGGTATGCCAGGTTACACATGTGACCGCTACGGGGTGGCTCAAGGCAGTGCACAACCCTATGCGGTTGCCTCTGGATGTGGTGGTCACCATACCAGAAAGAATACTCTGCTCTCTAGACCGGTGGAAGGACGAGAGCACAATGTGTGCGGGAGTTCCATTTGTCAGGCAGTCCCCATCAGTGTGCTGGTCACAGATGCGTCAGACACGGGATGGGGGGCGCACCTGGGAGGCCTCAGGACTCAAGGTACGTGATTACCAGGGGAAATGCCCCTTCATATAAATGTCAAGGAACTCAGGGCAGTCAAGCAGGCATGCAAGGCGTTCCTCCCCCAGCTGGAAGACAAGGTGGTTGCGGTACTGACAGACAACACAACTTCCATGTATTATATCAACAAGCAATGGGGGGCGCGTTCCTCTTCCCTGTGCCAGGAAGCCCTAGAGCTGTAGGAGATATCTCTCTCTCTCAGTATTCACCTGGAGGTGTCGTACCTGCCGGGGTCCAGGAATGGGTTGGCAGACAGGCTCAGTTGCTCCATTCAGGAACACGAGTGGACTATAAGACAAGACATACTGCAGGGGGTCTTCCAGAGATTGGGGTATCCCCATCTAGACCTCTTTGCAACACTATTACCTCATTGAGGAAGGTGTCCGAACTTAGAGAGTTGACTTCAGAGCCCCCTTCCATGGTCTTCTTTAAAGATAAGGTGAGAATGAGTCCTCACCCGGGGTTCCTTCCCAAAGTGGTCTCGCATTTCCATCTCTCTTAAGACATTTACCTACTGGTCTTTTATCCCAAACCATACTCCATGCCCAAGGAACAGACCCTGCACTGCTTGGATGTCAGGAGGACATTGGCCTTTTACATAGACAGGACGGGGGAATTCCGTAAGTTACCACAGCTGTTTATTTCGATAGCAGAAAGAATGAAGGGATTGCCAGTCTCCGCGCAGTACATCTCCTCGTGGATCACATCTTGTATCCAGGAGTTCTACGAGGGTGCGGGCAAACCAGCGCCACCATTAACTGCTCACTCCACAAGAGCACAGGCGGCCTTGGCAGCGTTCCTGGCACGTGCGCTAATAGTAGAAATCTGTAGGACAGCTACGTGGTTGTCGGTGCACTCATTTGCAGAGCATTATGCGATCACGCAGCTGGCTAGAGGGGATGCCGCAGTAGGGGCAGCAGTTCTGAGGTCTGCAGTAGTATAGTCAGGAGTCACCTTCCAACTCCGCCTCCATGGGAATAGCTAGGGATTCACCTAATCAAAATGGACAAGAAGAAGGAGAAGAAGAAGGAAAAAAAAAACGTATCTCATAACTGTTGTTCTTCGAGATTGCTCATGTCCATTCTACATCCCACCCACCTCCCCTTGTCTGAAGGGACCAGCAAGAAGGAACTGAGGAGGTAGAGGGGCCAGCAGGGGTATATATGCACCGGTATACTGACGCCACTCCAGGGGGCTCCCTGCCTGGCCCTATGGATACTGCTCAGGGAAAAAGCTCCGGAATCCGTGCACGTGGCGCGCATGCACCTAATCAGAATGGACATGAGCAACACATCTTGAAGAACTACAGTTACAAAGTAAGTAACCTCTTCTTCTTTTTAAAAAAACCCTCAAATTGAAACTGACATTTAAACTACAGTTATATTTTGTGAAATTAAAGTGAACAAATGGTAATTAGTTTTTATTTCCTTTGAATTTTCTAACAGTGTGTGCCATTTTGAGTTTGAAAGGCCAATTACATGTAGCAAGAACTTGGAATTTATATTCTTAAACCAGTTTCTGAACACATCCTTTATTGTGGAGTTATGATCAACAACCCCAACAATTTGAAATATATATGAATATGGAGAATCACTGTAATTGTTAGGTTTGGTGCTTGTTACCCTACCATCAAGTCACTTTTCTCATTTTGAAGCCCTGTCCTGAAAACACATGCTGCTTAGCTTTAGTCACCCAAGTAGACTTCACTGGGAATATAAGCATCAGTTGTTATAATAAGCATGAACATTCGTAGGATCCAGGCCTTACTTTAGGACATTATTTGAAAACAAACATGTTTTCCTTAAATGTCATATTTTAGTTAGAGAATGCCATTGAAAAATAGCAATATTAATGTACAATGGAAATTACTATTTATGTTTTGAAGGTTTTAATGACTATATATATTAATATTCATGTATTAGGTTTACCTCAGCAAAGAGTTTCTGAAATGCTTATTGGGATTGTTTCTGGAAACATACTTGCCAAGCTCTGTAATGGAAAGAAACCTATTTCTTTTCTGTGCTTCAGGGTGTATTCTGTGCATAGTGTAATTATACTATTGTAGCTATATTTCCTGACTCTTAGCTTTAAGCTTGATGAAAGATGATTATTATTGTTTAAAGACTCCATGCATCCTGAAGGGGAGAGATCCATTTGCCTCAATATTATTCAAAGGAATGGGCCACTTGAACATGTAAAATATAACTTCTCAGAATACATATCAGCTGCTTCTTTTCATGAATTAAGCTCATTTCTATATCCTTTAACTGTTTCTGTCTGGCCCTAGTTACCTTAATATTTCATTCATTTCAGTTTGTCTTTTTGATGGCATAATTCCTGAATAGCTCACAAAAGGGTTGGAGGGAGTATGGGTCCTGAACTGGGGAGTCAGAGGTCTGCCACTTACTCACAGAATGTCTCTGTGGGCATGTCTACAGTAGGAAATTAATTCTGAAATAAGTAAAATGGAAATAATGACGTCCAAAATAACAAAATCGAAATAGCGTGTCCCCACTACACGGGAGCATCGGAATTACTCAGAAATAGCGCGTTCACACTGATTGAAGTCTGTCTCAGACTTAGAGCCCCTGGAAGCACTCCAGGGAGGGCAACCGAAGGGCAGACACTTCCTGTAGCTGCTTGGTCAGGCAAGCTGCAACTGTGCTTTTAGGGGCTCCTCTCTACAGCCACTTCTCACATGCCACTCCTATATTGCCTGCCCCCTTGCGGGATACAAAATGGATGCAGTGTGCTCCCGTTGCCCTTGCAGATGCCAGAGCACTTACAACATGGAGCCAGAGATGCTGCAAAGCAGTGCCAGGCTCACAGGCCTTGTGCTCTGCCTCATGACACAGTTCATCCAGACTGTCCACATGCTGCCCCAGCAGGGTGACAATTAGCCCAGACCAGATGCCCTCATCACCCAGGTTTTGGCGCGCTGGCTGCAAATGCGCCTCAATCTCCTGGGGACGCTGAACACCACTTCTGGCAGAGGGAGACCAGTACAAACTGTTGGGACCACATCGTCATGCACTTGGACAACCAGCAGTGGCTCCAGAACTTCCGCATGTGGAAGGCCACATTCCTGGAACTCTGCGAATGGCTCGTCCCTCCCCTCAGGCAACAGGACACTTGACTGTGACTCACCTTCCCCATGCAGAAGCATGTTGCTATTGCCCTGTGAAAGTCTGCCACACCGGACAGCTACTGCTCTGTTGGGAACCAGTTCAGTGAGAGGAAATCCACAAGCAGGGCTGTGCTCCTGCAAGTAGCCAAGGCCATAAACCATGTGCTGCTATGGGGGGTCATCACAGGGAATGTGGACAGCATGGTTGATAGCTTTGCCACCGTGGGCTTCCTCAACTCGGGGGCAGGGAATAGTGGCACATATCCAGGCACCAGAGCATCGAGCGGCCCACTTCATCATCCAGAAGGGGTACTTCTCCATGGTGCTCTAGGCCCTCGTGGACCACAAGGGACACTTCACTGACATCAGCATTGGGTGGTTGGGGAAGGCGCATGACACCCACATCTTCCGGAACGCCTTCCTGTTCCAAAAGATGCATGCCATCACTTTTTTTCCTGACTGCACCATCTGCGTCGGGGACATGGACATGCCCTTTGTAATCCTGGGTGACACAGCCTACCTCTTGCTCCCATGGCTCATGAAGCCCTACATGGGCAGCCTGGACTCCACCTAGGAGAACTTCAATGCCAGGTTTACCAGATGCCACATGGTAATGGCGTGTGTGTTCAGCCACTTAAAGGGGAGGTTCTGGAGTTTCCTCACCTAGGCCAGGACCTCAGCAAGTGAAACATCCTCTTTGAGATGGCTGCCTGTTGTGTGCTCCACAATCTCTGTGAGAGTAAGGGGGAGATTTTCCTGCCAGGGTGAGGGCAGAGACTGAATGGCTGGTAAGAGCGAATGAGCAGCCAGACGGTGGTGCCATTTGACGAGCACATCAAGGGGCTCTGCTTATCAGAGAGGCCTTTAGGGAGCGTTTCAGCCAAAGCCAGCTGTGAGACTCTCCCCTGTGCCTCTCCGCACTGGGGGAGAGTAGGGGAAGGGGCTGGAATGGAGGAGGTGGAGGGTGAGAAAGGGGACTAAGAGATAGTGCTGGACTGGTGCCTGCCTCAGTTAGCTCGGGAGGCTTCTGCTGCCAGAGAGGTCCTACTACCCCCTGTTCTGGGGCCCCAGCAGCGCCTGGGGGGACTAGAAGGGGAAGCCCCTGTGAGGGGGCAGGGAGTTGGCTGATGCGTGTGAGGCCATGCGCTCCATCACCAAGGTGAGGGAAGAGCACATGGCCTCCTGCTGGCACACCAGCTACTCCTAGATGGTCTTCCTCTGCTCCTGGTCAACCCAGCACTCCTCCCTGTCAGAGGCCCACCCCTGGATGAGGACCTGGAGGCAGGCCATCTGTTTCCTCATTAGGTCTTCCTATGTATGTGTTCCTCCTGCGGATCTTGTGAAATTGGGAGGATGGTGTGGGAGGTGGTGGATGCACCAAGCTTGCAGCTGGTCCAGCTGTGAAGAAAAGTTATAAGGGCAGTCATTCCAGAAGACACCATGTATGAAGCCTAGCATTAATCTCTGAGCTGACACCGAAGGTCTTGGTTCTGGTGATGCGCTTCAAGCAAGGCCATATGTTGTTTTGACCGAGGGCATGGATGTCCCAGGGGAGCATTGCTACAACCATGGCCCAGGGACAAGCAGGCATGGGAAGGGGTCGGCCAGGCCAGGAGCATGAGGGCAGGAGAAGGAGATGGGGTGGCTCGGCTTCCTTCCGTGTCTCACTCATGTTGGGCCAGGCACTGGCTGCATCTCACTGAGAGAGAACTTCCATCCCTGCCCACTGGGGGCAGGGATGTTGGAGGAAGTGTGTGTGAGCAGCAGAGGTGCCTTCTATTCCTCCCCCTGGCAAGTTCCCATGCATGGGATCAGTCTGCTCTATATCACTGTGCTTGACCAGGAGTGGATGCTGCCTGAGTGGGGGCATGACCCTCTGCCGTGTGTGACACTGCTGTGCATTTCCATGACCCCAGTCTCCTTAGTGGTGGCTTGTCGTGGGAAGGTGTTCCACCATGGAGGCTGGAGTTAAGGTAGGCCTCTACAGGAACCTTGTGAGTAGGCATGATCCCTACTGACTCACTGCTTAGAGCTGTTTGAGATTGCTGGCTGAAAAAGCTCTATGTGGAGATTTATCGCATTCTGCTTTCTTTTTCTTATCTTTGTCATCCCTCTTGATTCCGGTTTCCTTTCTCACAGTCTACTCAATGCTTAATTTGCAATGAAAGAGGCATCAGAGCTCATGCAATTTTTTTTACATTCACAACTGATGCATTAAGCCCCCACAGGTGCTGGAGTGAGGAACGGCTGGCTAGAGGTGCCAAGGCAACATAAGCACTGAATTTACTCACCAGGTGGGATGGTGAAAGTGCTGGTTCTAGCATATCCTTTTACTCCAACAGGGCACTTCCTCCTTCGCATTCATCTGCATTCGGAACTTTTATATCCAGTTTTCAGCACCGGTGCCATCAGTCAGCTATAGTGAAAGCAGGTTGCAGACCTTTTTAACACTGTGACATTGAAACAGTGTTAACTGATGCAGAGGTAAAAATGCCTGTTCTGTGGTGTTGGTAAAGCTTCCACCTTTTATAATGCTGGTGTAGAAAAGTGTATAACAATTTTCTAGTGAGACAGTCTTTATTTTGGAGAGTAGGACTGGGAGAGCATCCATATTCTTTTCCTGGCCTTCAACCAGTTTGACAGCTCTCTGACGACTGAATGGGGGGAAAGAAATGAGAGTGGGTGGATATATAGCTAATTCTCATTCAGCTACTAATGTTAAACCCATTTAATTAAAAAACATATTTAAAAAAGGAAACCACAGTGGGACAGAAATCCCTTCATGGTCTAGCTACAGTTGTTCCATAATTGCGTCATTAGGTAAATTTTCATTGCAGAATTATATAAGGTTTATCTAGGTCAGGTATGAGCAGCCACACAACAAAGCCATATTTGAGTTACTACTATCCTCGCAGGTGCTATGCTAATATCATAGAATAGTAGGACTGGAAGGGACCTCGAGAGGTCATCAAGTCCAGTCCCCTGCCCTCATGGCAGGACCAAATACTGTCTAGATCATCCCTGATAGACATTTATCTAACCTACTCTTAAATATCTCCAGAGCTGGGGATTCCACAACCTCCCTGGGCAATTTATTCCAGTGAATGGTATATGTATGTATACCTAGGCCACTTGAGGGCAGATTTTTTGTTCTGTAGTAAGATGATCTGCTCTAGGATTTTTTTCCTGGTGAATTGTGAGAAAACTTGTCCAGAAGGACAGACATGTGGGGATAATTGTGGGAAGGCACTGTAGGACTGTTACCACTACAGTGGTTTAACCTATGTCCTCACTGGAAAGTGGGCACTTACCATGTCTGGGATTAGTCTGCAGCCCCAAACAAGCCAGTAGACCTAAATAGTAAGCACCAGCAAATGTGACTGAAGCAATTTTGTGTTTGGTCGGGTGCTGGGTTGGAAGCAACATGTGAGTAAGGATTACTTCCTACATATTTGGTTAAGACTACAAACATTAGATCTTTACCTTATGGATTGTGAAACCTATGTAACCAATATTAAACCTGGCATAAGATTCACAAGGAAAAGCTTTTAGTTTAACTTTTTATTTTAATATTTAAATTAAATTGGAGTGAAGACAAACTCTTCAGTGAAGACAAGCTCCAAGAAATGTAGTGTGTACAAGGTTACTCAAAGTATATTCCTGAGTTTATACTGGAGAGAGATAACTGAGCAAACAAGGAGATTCTGTTAACCCTCGGAGAGTCGAGTTTTGGACGCAGGCATACAGTTCCCTATAAAGTCAGTGGGAGCACTGCAGATTCATCTAGAATATGATCCTATGCATATTGCTTATTCTGAACCAAATCTGCTTTGGTTTAGTGTGCGCACTTCCGGTGACTTCAGTGACTTCTTACTGTGCTCTCTGTAAGATAAAGAATTCCTGGCTTCATCATAACATAATTTACTTACCAAAGTCTCAGAGGGATAGCCATGTTAGTCTGTAACTTTGAAAACAATGAGTAGTCTTGTGGCACCTTAGAGACTAACAAAAATATAAGTAATGGCATGAGCTTTTGTGGACATAAGCTCATACTATATATTTTTTTTCTTGGTCTTGAAGGTTCCACATAACTACTCATTGTTTTTACCTAGCAAAGATAGTTACAGAATACCAATCAATAATTTTCTATGCATGTTCACAATTACAATCACAAAGTGTGGATTTATATTCAGTAAACTAAACTGTTAACCATTGTTTCTTAACTAAATTTATTTTTGTATTAAAATACTTGCTAAATTCTCTAGCCCCTTTGTCTCTTTCATAAAAAATAAGTGCTCTCAGTAGGGAGGTATGTGGGGAATACTAGCAGAATTCAAGACAGTATTTGCTAGCAGAATTCAAGACAGTATTTCATAAATATCAATATCATCAGTTAAATTGGGATATTGCATTAAAATGTGGCTAGCAGTTTTTTGTAAATTGTCCGACAACGTAATTTTTGTTTTAATTGTGGACTTTCAGTGCTGTATCTATTTTCCTAATTCAGGAGATTGTATGTTCCATTATTATTCTGTTACCTTTTTTAGATGCTGCAAGCACCATTTCTGTATGTCTCTTCCCTTGGCGTGCTGATCCTGGTACCATAAAAATGTATTTCCTGAAACAGTCTGAGGAGTGGGGGAAAATCTTAGCATAGAAGTTCGCACATTTAGAAGAAAACACCTGTTTAGAAAACATTGTATGTAGATACTTTCCCCAAGGAGTACTGAGGATTTTTCTTTCCATCTTTAAGTCTTTAAAGAGAGCAATCTGGTGTTACAGTTACCATATAACGGTAGCTGCAAATGTCTTGGAATATATAACAGTTAAAAAATCATAGTGCAAATTTTATTTATTAAATTCAATACAAGTTAAAATGAAGGACTTAATGGCTCAGAGAAATGGATTATAATATAGATAATGAGAGAGAGAAAGTCAGGGAAAGGAGCTCTGAAAGCCCCATGTGTGGTTGGTGGAGGATTCAGTGTACTGAAGAAGACAAATGTAAGGCTGCCTCCTCTGGACCCTGCAAAATATGATATATGCCCCAGGTGAGCCTTGGGGAGTGAAGGGCATTTCAGGGATGGGGCCACAACATACTGCATGGCAGAGATTCCGGGCAGTGGTGGTTCATGAGGCAGCCTCAGGAGGCTGCCGTAACTTAGATAAGTCCACAGGGCCTGTCGGGCCTCTTCAGCCCTTGAAGGTGCTGAGGATCAGTAGGACACAAAGGTGACTTTCAGCCACTTTGCCCCTCTCCCTGCCAAGTTCTGTTCAGTGCCTGTAACAGCTGCATCTCACTAAAGCCTTTAGTCCCTTGGAATCTAGTCCTGTGTCTATTTAAGCTGCTAGAAAAACTCCCACAGGCTTCAGGCATTCAAGTATTGGGGCCTCATCTGAAGCAAATAGAAAAAATTCAGAGAATACCAGACACCTCAAATGTAATTTTTCCCCAGCCAGGAGGCGAAAATGCTGGGCACCTGGAAACCCTACAAACACTCAGCACCTAGTCCCCTTCCTCCCCCCAAGCCGTCCCCTGGCTCCCAACACCCTCAGCCCCCATGCTTACTTAGTTCCCCAAGGCTGCTGGCACAAAATGGCTGCCGGCCAAAAGACCTAGGGGAAGCAATGCTTTCCCCTGGATCTTAGTGCTCAGCCTCTCCCCTGTTCCTATCCCTGCACTAACTTTTAAAGGGGACATGCTTTTAATACTGTTTAATTTAAAATTTTTTTTGGCTTACTTGGAGTCCATTTTTTCCCAGCTTTTTGGGGGGGGAGGGGAGGAATTAGGTATTTTTGTTTCAACGATCTGGCAACCCTGATCATAAATGGTGCTTTGCTTTTTGGTGATACAAGTTGGCCCTCTTTAGTCCAGCCCCCCTCGGTACCTAACCGGTTCCGAATGAGGGAATTTGCTGAACCAGGGAAGAATTCCCATGCCTCTCACCCTTCCCCAGTCCACTGCTCCTCCCCATAGCCGGTTCTTCTGCTGGCCCTGGCCAGTACCCTGTTGACTGCCACTGACCTGGCTCGCTTGCTGGCCTGCCATGCTGCCGTGGCCCTGGCTCACCTGTCCTGGCCTCAGCTCTGCTACCAAGCCTCTATTACTGGGGATCCAGCCCCAGCTCCGGCCTCTCTGTTGCCAGTCCCACCAGGCTCCCAGCCCAGCAGGGCTCTCAGCTGGATCAGAGAGTGCCAGTTTTGGGAATTCCAACCTGTATAAGCAAAGGGGTCTTGGATTGAACTGGAAGAAGACGTGATCTGACTAGATCCATTTGCAACACAGCATGGGAAGTTTGCACTACTGCTGCATGTGTTGTTTTTTTTTCTATTCTTTAAACACCTTGGCTACATCTAGACTACATGCCTCTGGCGACAGAGGCATGTAGATTAGGCTACCAGGCATAGGAAAATGAAGCGGCGATTTAAATAATCACCGCTTCATTTAAATTTACATGGCTGCCGCGCTGAGCTGATCAGCTGTTTGTCGGCTCAGAGCGGTAGTCTGGACGCTCGGGTGTTGACATCAAAGGCATTTGTCGACCACCCAGGTATGCCTCCTGGGAGACACCCGCACGTCCAGACTACCGCGCTGAGCCGACAAACAGCTGATTGGCTCAGCGCGGCAGCCATGTAAATTTAAATGCTGCTTTTAATCCAGCATTACATTCACTTAGGCTGCTTTATAGAAAAATAAACTTGCAGTAAAGAAAACAAAAACCTTGCAAGATGTAGCTTTATGGCAAGTCCATTAACTCGGTTCCTAAAACACCAATGTTAAAATAAGTACAACTGGCTGCCTTCATATAAACACGGACAAAATTATATAAACAGGAGCTAGAAACGCCCCCGCTGGTGAATAATCTGTTCAGGTCAGCAGGGAAGCAGTGAAAACAAACTAAACTAGATAAGTGGGAATATTTTCCACATGGCAGATGGGCTGGTGACTCTAACTTTCCTTTGTGATCTTGTGAGGAAGTTGGAGTGAAAGCTTTCCCTGGTGATGTGTGCTAGCATTTTATTAAGCATTTTATTATAAAGGTTCTCTACTCAGCATGCTTTGCACAAAGTGTGTTCTCTTTTCCCCCCCAACAGTCCCCCCTCCCCACACACACACAAAATACACAACACTAGGCTATCCTGAATATCAGCAAGGCTTACAGTAAAATGAACACTTGAAAGTGCAGCTGCCAGTGAAGGAACAGTAAAAGTAGCATTTACTTACCCAACAGATCCTCTTTTGTAGGTATTCCAAATTTGTTTTTTTGTTAGTCACATCGTGTGTTTTGGCACAGCGCAAGATACAAATATAAATCGTGATCCTGCAAGACACATTTAGTCCTGCACAGAGGTCTATTGAATTTAGTGCAGCTCTGCACAGGCATAAAGATCCCTTCTCACAGGTCCAAGTTTACAATTTGGGCCCAGATCCACGAAGGGATTTAAGAATTTCAGTTGTCAGCACTGTGACCCTGACTTTTGGGAGTCTCGCCCTCCCCAGTGGAATCCACAATCTCTGAGTTACACACTATGACTCCTTGTGCAATTCATGGGAAGAAATAGGTGCCTAAGAATGGGGTCCACTGGTTCTCCAGGAATTAGGCACCTAAGTCTAGGCTGTAGGGAGCTGCCTATCACTGCCTTGGATCTGCAGCTGGGAACTTTCTCCTGGAAGGGAAGTGTGATTTTTTGCAAGAATAGTGGTGGCACATACCTAACTCCACACAAAATGGCCTGGCAGAGGGGAAGGAAAGAAATTTCCCTTGTGGCTGGTGGCTGGAGCACTCACATGGCATGTTTGATGAGGAGAAGCATATGGAGTTTCTCTCTCTCTCTCTCTCTCTCTCTCTCTGGCCCAATGCATATTTAATAATTTATACATGTGGAGTAGCTTCCACAAGAGAGAGGCAAACTCCCATCACAACATCTCAGTACAAACTTTTAATGTTCACATATGTAACCCTTGACACTGAGTGCATAAATTGTGTGTGTGTTTTTGTTTGCATGCCCAGATTTGGGGCCAAGTTGATAAACATGAAACTCCAGGATGCTATTACTTACATATTTACTTTTCAGTGCCTGACTTTGCTTTCAGCTGACACTTCTACTTTAGCAGCCTTTCAAAATATACTTAAATTATAAATGAGGGCAAGATAGGTTTTGATGAAGTACAGTAGCTGGAGGTCATAGAGTAAAAGTGTTTATCACTGAAGACACAGGTGTGGCCTTCTTACTGTCTCTGCATGTTGTCAGGGTACTGTAAATAGCTGTGCCAAAGAGAGGAGATTAAAAAGCAGTGTGAAGAACAACAAATGGCTTCATTTTATTTTTAATTCTAGCTCATCTTCAAAAAAAGATCCCACTGTGTCAGCGTGTGGGCTGCAAACGGAACAGATTTTTCTTAAATACGTGTTGAAAACAGAATATGAGTTTAGCAACAGCCAAGAGGCCTCCTTCAGAACTGAATGGTCAATAAAAGAAATGTATAGTGAATGATTGCTTCTTTTCGTGTTGTTTTTTTCTGTAGCTCTGCTTCAGTGAACCATCACTAACATTTTTTTACCTGAAGAAGTTTTCTCTTTACATCAGACTAGGCCCCAATACTGTGAAAATATTTTGCTATTTTATTCAAACTCAACTGGGCCAGTTTGATGTTACATAAAATATTATCACTGAGTGTCTACCATTTTCCCTGTTCATTTATATATTGATTGTGATCTAGAGCTTACAAGATCCTGTCAATAAATTAACTGAGAGAGCAGAAAGGGAGGAAGATTTGCAGACTGCAAGCACCAAATCAGTGGAGGATCAGCAGAGTCAGTAAGTCACGTGTCCTACATCTCAGAAAAAAAGCCCATCTATGCTGTGCTTTCTAATTCATCTTTGAATGTATCTCTTTTTAAAAGGTTATTTTAAGGAGACTGTCACACTTATAACCGTAAATAAAAGCTCATTTTACTTGAACACTAGAGATTTTGACAAATAGAGATCAAGGTGGATGAATTCCTGTAATACTGCAATATACAGATGAGCAATTCAGTCTAGGAGCCAAGCACAAAAGTGAGCAGTGTAGAATAAGCAAAATTAGGCTCTTGAATTAACTTCTTTCTGCTTTACTCTTCCTATTTAATAAGAGAGAAATGCAAAAAAAAAAAAAAAAAAAAACATTAAACAGCTTAATTCTAGAGAAATAATAGTACTGCGCTCCATCCTTTATCTCTTACATGTCCTTTCTTGGCACCGGGGAACAGGAGCTGAATTCCTGCTTACTTTAAGCACTGACTAGTGTTTATAATGTATACAGCATTACCTATTAGTTCAGTTACAGCAGCATGTACTTTGCAAAGAGAATATGTAAGTGAGCTGATTCTATTGTCACTGAAATTACTTGTGGCAATGAGATGAAGGGGACATATGAATGGGATATATATTAATCTTTGGAGCAGCTGATCAAGGGATGGGAGAAATGGAGGATGAGATGCAATCCTTCTCTCCAATGGAAGTATCAAGATTCCGTTGCGAGGAGATACAGTGATATAATCCAGCTGCCACCTGTTGTTTTGATTATCCAAGTAAAGTACAGGCAGTCCCCGGGTTACATGGATCCGACTTACATCGGATCCCTACTTACAAACGGGGTGAGGCAACCCCGCACTAGCTGCTTCCCTCCAGCAGACCAGGGAGACGCGAAGCTAGCACCCCCCCACCCCCACCAGACCAGGGAGACGCGGAGCGGCTTTTCTCAGCAGAAACCTCAGCTTGAGAATAAAGGACTGAGGGAAGTGAGGTGTGGGAGAATGGAAATGAGGTGTGGGAGAATAAAACTGAGCTCTGGAGAAATGTTTGGCTAGAGTTTTCCCTACAATATGTACCAGTTCCGACTTACATACAAATTCAACTTAAGAACAAACCTACAGTCCCTATCTTGTACGTAACCCGGGGACTGCCTGTACCTACATAAGGATCAAATGTTAAAAATTTAAGAATAATTTTTATGCTGGTTATTGGGTTTTGTTTGACTGATTGTAAAAAGTCTTTTGGAAGGACTTGCATTTTTAAACAAACAAAAGAATCAGAAGACATTGTCCACACTATTTAGCACTACAATTAGGCCCTTGAATTAAGAGTCCTGTTTTAGGGATAAACAGATTAGAAAGGACACAGACAAGTTCCCTTATGCAGGGATCTGTTTTCATAGCACTATTGTGAATCCATTGCTTGTCATGAGACACTAGCAGAGAATCACAGGGAAAAAAATTATCCTAAAACTCCAAAAGGAACTTCAGGAATAAGGAAGGAGCTACAGTAAACTTCTGATAATCCGGCACCCTTAGGACCCAACAGGTGCCGGATTATCAGATTTGCCGGACTATCGGAAGGGGGGCTATGAGGGGTCTGGGGTGGGGGGCCGACAAACAGATGATCAGCTGTTTGTCGGCTCAGTGCAGCAGCCATGTAAATGTAAATGAAG